GGGATCGAGGAGCATGGGTACGTGTCAATGCCGCCCATTGATGAATTTCTGGGCGGGCGTCGACACTGAGAGCTCCAACCCTGCCATCCAAACCGCTGAAAACAACGGTGCATCTGAATGGCAGAGCATACACGGCAGCGGGTCAGGCCAGTGCTACCCTGCACACCATGGCGGTGCTGCAGGCATACCAGGCCGACCTGCTGGGGGATCTCGACCAGGGGGCAGGAATGTCCCCTGAGACGGTGGCTGAGCTGCGCCGCACCACAGATCTTGCTCTCTGGGCCACCAAGCAAACCGCTGCCGCGATTGGTCAGTCGATGGCGGCGATGGTGGCCACGGAGAGACATCTGTGGCTAAATCTAGCCAACATCTGGGAGAAAGAGAAGAGAATCCTTTCTCCTCGATTCACCGGTGTCACCCTCTGAACTCTTCGGCACCTCCGTAGAGGCAGTGGTGGGGAAGTTCAGGGAGGCGAAGGCGCGCTCAGCTGCATTTAAAACATGTATACCGCTGAGATCCATATCCACGCCCAGGCAGGCGGGAGGACCTGGCCCTTCACGGTCTGAGGACCATAGGCAGGGCCAGCGAGCCAGCGTCTCCTCTCGTACGCCCCCTCCCTGGAGGAGCAGGGCGCAGAAGAGGCGTGACTCCTGCAACAGGAGAGATTTGAGGGAGGTTATCCAGCACAAATGCACACAGCGTCGGTGATGGATAACCTCCCCGGAGGGTCATGAAATTTGCCCTCTCCTCTCTCCGACTCCCCAGCGTTCATCACATCAGGCCTGGGGATGGGCCTATGATGAGAACGATGGTCTGATGGCCCGCCTAGGCTTGGGTAGTGAGAACGCCTCTTTCAGGCATGTAAAGTGGTGGACCCCAGGTTCGTATAGAACTTTCTGGCGAGTCTTCACTCCACACGCCGCAGGTGAGCTGTCTGGTCTTTTTAAGAGTCATTTTCTGTGAATTAAAATTCCGAAATGTATCTCTCTACAGACCTCGTTCCCTGTATAGAGCTATGGGGTCATGTCAAGGTAATAAGGTAAGAGAAATTTCCTGGATTATTAGGGCCCTGAAGTTCCCCGTTAGGTGGCCAGAATGATACAGTAACTATGTTAGCCTTCGGGCTGTTAGCCACCTCAGGGTAGAGTAGTTGGTCTCTCTCTCATATAATTTTTTACTTGGAGTGTTGACTGACGCTAGAGCTTCAGATAGATCTATGTCCGGCCCACTGAGCCGTCTGACGACTTCCTGAGTATTTCGCCCCTTGAGTTCTTTTGGGTTTTCAGTAGACTGAGCGTTTCTGCAGCCCCTTGTATGGAATAATACAGACTATATTTGTTAGTAAGGCTGTGGCTCCTCCAAGCCCTCAGGTAGATCTATGCTTGCAGGTTGGCCCTCACCAGGGCCGCCTCTGTAGCTGGCCTAGGCTGTGCCAGGGATAATGGAGACGCTCTGCTAAAAATAGCATTTCTGCCTTTGACCCTTCACTTTGTGAATGTAGGTTCCTAGCATTCCTGTATAACAACCTCCTCCCATGGGAGTCGTTAGGCCAAGGCCCGCCCCCTTCTCTGCATTCTGGGGCAACAAGAGAAATGCAGCGTGGTGCAGAGGATGGTTTATAAGAACATGGTTAGGCCTTAAATAGGCCGCCATGGTACATGTCTTTATTGAGCAGGGTTAGGCCGTCTCTCGCTTCACGAAGAGGACTGGTTCTGTCTGCCCGACCCTGCCATGCAGAACTGGCTTACTTATCTAGGCCAGTATAGGCTACTGCTCGAGCGCTGGGTTGTAGGTGGGTGGCTCTCAAGTCTAGCCCCACTCCCCTAGGTTGGGCACAGATACATTTCTGTCACCCCTAGAGCCGCTGGCAGGCCCGCATCCTGGTAACCCCAGGGTGAGGTGTGAGTATTCCCCTGTGATACAGGGTAGGTCTGAGCACTTCACTTCCAGTTCTGTAATATCCTACCTCGCACCACTATGGCTCGGGTCGAGTGGGAAGTTTAACCTTCACTTCTTGTTGGTCGAAGTACGCTCCCCTGAAACCAGAGCATTGCCCTGAGCTGACGCCCATGCGTATAGATGGTAGGCCCCTGACACAGAGGCCTCTGTTGAGGCAGAGTTGTGTATGTTGTACTCCCCTTGTTTTAAGGGTGCTAGCTCCCTTGCTGAGTACACTGCCGTGGGCAATGTGATTAGTCACCAGGATGCTGTAGGCGCTGTGTAAACAGCTTATCTGCCAACGAAGGCTGCGCCGTCAGGTAGTAGGCCTCAGCAGGCCTCCTTGAGTGGGCAGCCCCCAAGAGGGCGCTGTAGGCCAGCTTACTTCTCGTGGTTGGCCTTGGTGGTTCGGGCAGTTGACTCAGCAGATGGGTAGTAAGGCCTTAGACAGGCCTCCTCGGAGGTGAGTCCCAACATTGTGGGACATACTTTATAGCCGCTACCAGGTAGCTAGCCGTATTAGGCCTCCTTGTGGGTGGGCCCAAAGGTATGTTGGTGTAGTATGTTCCCAACAGTGTTCCTTTCTAGCAGAATTGACTTGCTCTCAGCTAGTAGGCCCAACCAGGCCTCCCTGATAGGCGAGTCCCCAGCTGGCTGGCCTTAGGAGGCCGCCTTGGAACTGTCACCCGGACTCAGCTTCCAGTTGCTATCAGGTAGTAGGCCCCTCAGGCCTCCCTGAAGGTGAATTCCCACTTAAGATGGTTATCAGGTAGTAGGCCTCACCCGGCCTCCCTGAAGGCGAATACCCACCTACATTGGCTATCAGGTAGTAGGCCTCACCAGGCCTCCCTGGGGACAAGCCCCAAGGACAGACAACTGGACAGCTAGCCTACAAACTATCAAGTAGAAGAAAAAGCTCCCAGATATTATGGCTGTCAGGTAGTAGGCCTCACCAGGCCTCCCTGAAGATGAGTTACCACATGTTGTGATTATCAGGTAGTAGGCCCCACCAGGCCTCCCTGAAGGTGAGTTCCCACAGACTGTGGTTTTCAGGTAGTAGGCCTCACCAGGCCTCCTTGAAGGTGAGTTCCCACAGACTGTGGTTTTCAGGTAGTAGGCCTCACCAGGCCTCCCTGAAGGTGAGTTCCCACAGACTGTGGTTTTCAGGTAGTAGGCCTCACTAGACCTCCCTGTAGGTGACCACATACTGTGGCTATCAGGTAGTAGGCCTCACCAGGCCTCCCTGAAGGTGAGTTCCCACAGACTGTGGTTTTCAGGTAGTAGGCCTCACTAGACCTCCCTGTAGGTGACCACATACTGTGGCTATCAGGTAGTAGGCCTCACCAGGCCTCCCTGTGAGTGGTTCCCTAGCGGTGCTGGGTTCAGGAAGCTAGTGGCCTCTTGCTATCAGTTCAGCTGGTCTTAGCAGGCAGCTGCTGAAGGCGAGCTTGCGCCTTGGCTCGATTAAGTGTTCATTCTCTGCTACTGGTTCCCTCCTGGAACCTTTTTCCTGCCTACAGCCTGGTTTGCCTACCAGGCGGACCATGTGCTCCCCTCATCGAGGGTCACTTTGAGCATGCGGACTCCTGAGCCTGGTCAGACGGTCGTAGGCCTCTCGTGAGGCCTCCCAGTTAGATCAGTCCTTAGGCCTTCACAGACCTCCTCAGTGTTTTGAAACATACACACTGGGTAGATCCGTGGATCGAGTAGAGAAACTCCCCTCGCTGGCAAGGGTTGGGAAGCACTTGCTGAGTCATACTCTCCGGGACATCCCGTCTCTGAGATCCGGGACGAGTGGTTCACTGCCAGCTTCGCAGTCCCTTGGGTTGGATGCCTTAGTGTCCAGAGGCTCTGTCTCCGGACAGACAAGAAGTGGCCAGACAAAGTGTCTATGTAACTGATGCCGGGTCAGGCCGTCCTGGTGGCATTTCGGGGTGAGTACGTTCCCCTGAATAGTGACTGGCTGGGGTTCCTTCGGGTTCCCTAGCCACATTCCCCAGAAGGGACCCCTTCTAAGTGGAAACTGTGGTTCCAGGCCCTGAGCAGGTCCAGGTAGGCCTTTCATTTTACCATGTTTATGGAGGTTTTCCTGTGAGGCTTAGCTTGGGCTATGACCGTAGGGAATGCTGTCACTGACAGCCCGGTGTGACCTGAGAGTGAGTGGTTCTAGCGTTTCATTTGAATTTGCTTGTTCTGACAGTTGTCACTGCCACCTGGCATGCACTCCCCTTAGCATGGTGGCATTGGTATATCGTTCCCCAAAGCGTCATCGACGAAGTGCGAGTTCCCTTCCGAAAGGGAACGTCTAGGTTACGACTGTAACCTCTGTTCCCTGAGAACAGGGAACGAGACACTGCGTCTCCTTGCCATGCTTCGGGGCTTGCCTACCGAACAGTCCCTTCAGACGATAAGGTGATTTGTCATGTTTGCAAGGCGCCCTTTATACTACCAGGTCCCACGTTAATCATTCACGCTAATGATTCACGGGCTGTCGCCGGTCAATGTGATTGCCGTGATTTGATTGTGATTTCAGACACCTATCATGCCTGAGGCGTTCCCAAAAGCGTCATCGACGCAGCGTCTTGTTCCCTTTTCTCAGGGAACAGAGGTTACAGTCGTAACCTGGACGTTTTCATGTAATATGAGCCCCGGTGTTTGTTTGTTTGTTTGTTTTATTTTTGTACATTATATTTGTTGTTACAGACATGTGATGTATATTGCTGTGTAAGTGTTCAAGAAAATGCAATAAAAAACAAAGTATTTTTTTAAAAACCCTCTAGAATATGTAAAAATCTGTTTCTTGAAATGTTGTTACTTTGTGTTGTCAATTTTAACAATTCAGACCTTATCTTTGAAATCAAATAATCCTCTCAGTTAACAGCTCAGCTTTAAAGAGGGAAAGAATTTCACTGGTGTCACTTAAAGTAAAGGAGATCTGGGTTTGTGTAACCCTCTGCAGGGAGGTACCCACTGATATAAGGGTGAATCCTCGCCGGAGAGAGCAGAACCTGGTACAAAGGAAATTACTTCAGTAATATGAGTACATAAGATTTTCATGTCAAAACACAGGCAAGATAAACCAAATCATATCCCTGTTATCTCAGGCATTCCTCAAGCAGAGCTGCTATAACATGCCCTGTGACGAAAACCCAAGTATTTCTCAACGCCTTGGAGACCTAGTGCCTCTAGTTGGACAGCCGGACAGAGTCATGTATTCCCAGTATTATGAGTAAACCGGTGGAGTGTGTTTATGTGCATGTGAGATGTGTAATATGACCAAGGGGCAGCTTGAGTACAGGATAAAAAGGGTGGGAGTTTCCTTCTGGGGTCCTGTCCTAACTTTCTCTCTCACTTACACACACTAACAGCTCTGAGAGAGATACTTTTACATGTTCTGAAGGCATTATGGACAGCGAGTGACGGGGTAAGACAGCAGAGAACAACTCAGAACAAGAGAAGAGGATTTTGTCCAGCTGATCTAGTGTCCTCGCAGTCGGACAGGCAGCATGTATTGGGACGTGGCCCTCTGGAGCGCCGGGATCTGGGCGATTCTGAGTTTAGCTGCTGGACAACTGACCGAGCAGGAGAAATCAACCATCGTGGACATGCACAACAAGCTTCGCTCTCAGGTTCAGCCCAGCGCCGCCTTCATGCAAAAAGTGGTAAGAGATGCACCTGACTGGAGAAACACATGTACACAACATATTTCGCTTTGGTTCTAGTGGTGAAAACCTTTTTAAAAAAAGTACTTTAAAAAAAAACACTTACTTACCCCAAACTTTTAAATGGTAGTGTACATTGTGACTTTCCCCAACCACATGTGTGTGATTGAGTTTGATCTCAGACTGTTGATGTTTTGGTCTCTGGATGCTCTTATGAGGTCAAAGCATCTAATAATCTGCCATCAATCACTGGAATCATATATTTAATGGTCTCATTACTGCTGTAAACAACAATTATCACATTAATATCCATGGTAATTGTGTCATAATGCTTATTCATTACCACAAATAACTTCAAAACACAAGGCAGTCTAAGTAATGCAGTAATCATGATTGTGGTTTACCAAATGAAAACTGATCCTAAAAGTATTAAACAAATCACTCAGCATAAAGTCATTTTGGTATAAAGTCATTTAGTATCAATGTAAGTATTTAAAATGTCCCTTTAAGAAGAAGCATTGCTGCTGTATGAAACACACCTCAATTTGCGTTATGTGAACGCATGAGACCATCCTTTATTTATAAAGAGGGACTTTTCGGAAAGAAACCAATGATTTCTGATTCCAGTTGATTTAGACTTAATGGAGTGCGTGTGGTGTGGGTGCCTGGATGCATGAAATACCGTTGCACAACATCTCTGTGTGTGTGTGTGGGGGGGGGGGGGGTGCATTGCTGAGGAATGTGAATGTTATATGAGACCGCAGGAACACTATGCTGAGTGTGAGTGTTTTAATAAAGCCCCATGTGGTCATCCTGTCTTAATCTCTTGTATTTGTATTACGGGTGAAATTCAGAGCAGAAATATGGGGAGATTCAGTGGAAAAGATTCTGGGTGTTGTGTGAAACATGTTTTGTTCCCTTACATTTACACAACAATAGAGTGGATTATACCAACAACATGCTGGGTCATATTTGACCGGAAAAATAAAAAAAATGAGGAAAGAAAACCATTACAGGTGTGAGAATTTGGAGGTGCTCAATTCTCATATAAATCAATGATACAAATTAATTGAAAATAAATGGAATGAATTGAGTTCCCTTTCACGTCTTCTTGGACTTGAATATTTAAATAGGCCATTCTTAATGTTGCATCATCATGAAAGCTTAAGAATTGCCTACTTAAATATTCAAGCGCAAAAAAGATGCGAAAGGGAAATCAATTCATTACTCGCACGCTGTGTGGGAAGTTTAAGCATCTGAAGCACGTGCCCAGAAAACCGCGTCTCAGACATCGCATGAATACTAAATTGAGCTCACTTTCATTTCTTCTTGCACTTGAATGGACAAATTCACACAACATTAGGTAAAAAAAAAACGCCCGTCTCGACGAGTATCCTAGTAAACATTGTCGGTTATGTCTTAAGTGAACGTAAACAGTAGAGAAAGAAAATGCATGTGTACAGTATATCAGTATATTGGATCCGTGCATTAGGTCTTAAAGTGACAGTATCCTAATACTAAAGACCTATTTATTTGTGCTATTGCTTGTAATTTAATTATTATTCCTTATTTTATTACTGGCTGTTTACTTGTCTTTAATAATGTTTTAAATTTATATTAGGCTAGTAGTTTTAGCTGTGTTACCAAAATTGGAAAATTGCGAATTTTCACAAGTATCTAAAATGTTGGTGTCATTACTGCCCGTTTTTGCAAAAAACATTCCCTTTCGAAAGGGAACTCGCAGTGCGTCGATGACGCTATGGGGAACGCCTCCACGTGAACTGGTGTCTGTAACGCTCATCTAATCACGGCAATCCTATTGGCCGGCGACAGCCTATGCCATCACTTTCAAAATGGCTTGTGAAAAATGCTTCAGGAAGTGTGTGCATCTGTGTCTAAGATATTTGACACCTGATGACACACACAAATTGTATGTTTATTATTTGAGCTCAGAGCATGCCCAATCAGTTCCTCAGGGATCTGCTTGTGCCAATTATGAGTTTTTCCCTTGAGAAAACTCCACTCTTGACTGCCCTCTTCTCGAGAGACAGACATCTGTACCCGGCGATTTGGGTCCCGCTCGCGCTGAGGCAGAGTGGAGACTGGAATCGTGGGGTTTTTCAGAGGGAGCTCGGTGAGGAGTTGGAGAGAATTGGTAATCTCTCATGCCCCTCAGAGACTCGTGAGAGTGAGCTACAGGATGAGGATATGTAAAAAAAAAAAAAAAAATCCTCTCATCCAGCAGCAAGTGCTCTGCTGGCTATAAAAACAACCAGCCCAAGAGAGCAGAAGATGGCTGATAAGGGGGGAAGAGGATGTACGACCTGAACCCTCACAGCCACCCTGCCCGCGTATGATGAGTTGTAAGTAGTGTTGTCAAAAATATCGATATTTCGATAAATATCGATACTGAAATATCTGAACGGTACCAATACTAATTTCCCGAAGTATCGATACTAGCCGAGCAGTCACTTTCACTTCTCTCAAAAGGCGCGTTGACAAACACCACACGTGACGCACTCGTCTCATTCGCTCTGGTTAAATAGCAAAAGTGAAGTGAATGGAAAGATGGCGAGGGCGGCGCCCCCGCGACCGGCTTTGGTTGATTGATAAAGAACACCGCGAGCGGGCATGTCGGAGAATAGCGCGGACACGTGTAAAAAACACACCGCGAGCTGGCATGTCGGAGTCGGAGAATAGCGCGGACGCGAGCTACACACCGCGAGCGGGCATGACGGAGAATAGCGCGGACACGAGCTACACACCGCGAGCGGGCATGTCGGAGAATAGCGCGGACACGCGAGCGGGCTGCGGGCACCCAACAGATTGTTTGACTATCAATAATTCCTCACATCACTCATTTTTTAAAATTATTGTATAGGTGAAAACAGACTTAAGGAACAGGCTCCAGGGGTAGGCTACTATTTAACAGCATATGCTCAGCATCAGGGGTGTTTGTTGTTTGGACAGACCTGCCCCCACTGCTAAAAAAAATCCTCAAGGAAACACTGTAACTTCTCATTTGAACTTTTCTGAAACATTAACCAAGATGGCCTAGTATTGTTGTTGATAAGAGTCTGTGTTGTCTCGTTTTAATTCTTAAAGTTAACATAATCTGACTGAGGAATCTTAGACTAGTAAATATTGTAACTGTGGTCAAATGTAAATTAACTGGTGGCTATTTAACTTTATTCAAAAATTATTATTTAATTCTGCAATTTTCCTTCATTAGCGATTATCATCAATTTGATTACACAGATATTAATTCAACTAAACAGCTAGACAATGGCATCTCTGAATTCAATAATGACATGCCTTTAACTGAAAATTGAATGTTTAATCTTATTATTATACATTACTGACTCTCTATCCTCCAATTTGATACTGTTAAGTGCTTTTTTGTTACAGTATATTTTAATTTTTGATAACAGTAGGTAATAAAAATACATCATGTTAGCTCTGGTCCAATTAAAAAATATAAACAAATAGAACTCAGGACATTTTTGTTCATGTAAAATATACCTCATTGTCATGTTCTAGACTTGTTATATTTAGCTTTAAATTAAAAAAATACCCCCTTAATATTGTGGCAGTTTCCTTTCCAGCCATAACGCTCCAGCTCTCGTGAGCCTTCCATTCCTGCCCGATCTACACAATGAGATCGAAAAGGCATGGAAGAACCCATATTCAGCGCGCATTCATCACCATCAGCGCACAAACTACGCTGATGTTGAGGGGATGCGGGTATGTGTTGATGCCCCAATTGATGAGATGTTTGCGAACTATCTTGCAGCTGGAGAGGCACCGACATTAAGTGCTCCGGCCCTGCCTTTCAAGCATAAAAAAGAGAAAGTCTCGCTTAAATGGCAGGGCATACGCAGCGACGGCGGGTCTGGTTGGTGATGCTTTGCACACAATGGCGGCATTGCAAGCATACCAGGCTGATTTGCTGTCAGATTTGGACCGCATGAGAATAAAAAGGAATGCGGTCCGAATCTGTGTTTTCTCACCCCAAGCGCTTCTTGCATCAGCCCTGAGGCTGGACCCATGATGAGTTATTCCTTCAGCGTAGGAACCCTTCTGTAGGTCTGGCGTCGGGTTTGGTAGTAAGTGCGCTCTTTCGAGCTCTTCTGGTGATAGGCCTCCATTTGTGAATGTTGTTCAGGCCATCTATGGGCAGCAGGTTGAGCTCTGTAGGTCTCCTCCCTTTACGAGAGTTGTAGTAAGGTTAAAGGGTAGACCACGGTTCCCTGTTATAAAGTATCATGGGGGTGTTAGGTAGGGTTTTTATAGGATGGTGAAATTAGGGCCCTGAAGTTCCCATATATAGGTAGCCTATGCATACCCTTCCCAGAGGCCTCCTCTTATATTAGAGTTGGCAGGCTTATGTAGAGGGTAGTGCCAATCTGTAGTAGTGAACAGGTTGGCTTTATTTTATGGAAAATTCTCTAGTGAGGCCACCGTTCATCTGAGCATCAAACAGACATTCTGTGTGAGATGGATTCCTCCCTAGCGGGAGTTATTCTACTGAGGCCACCGCTCTGTCAAACTCCAGATAGAAGAGTCAAACATTTGACCCTCGTCAGGCCACCTTGATAGCCACCTTATACTAGAGCAGCAGGTCTCCTCTCACTTTGAGAGTCGCTTTGAGATTATAGCTCTGAACTTCCGTCATATAATATTCGTGTCGGCCCTCACGGGGCCGCCTCGATATCTGGCTTAGGCTTAGTAACTAGGCCTCTCATGTAGATACCTCATGGGCGTTGTCAGGCCTTTCTCTCTAGCAGTATGCTCAAGCTTCCACCCTTTAGAGCTGAGTCGTTGGCCACTTACTGTGGCCTTCATTTCCTTGGGTTTACTAGAGAATGTAAAATCTGTCTTGTAAATTTGAACTTGAAAAAAAAAAGATAATAGGCCTCGACCCTGATACATTCCTCAGAGTCATGTTGATAGTACCCCCCTTGTTAGGGCAGTATTTAGAGTACTTTGCTACCCCTAGC